AGATTTGAAAAATGTGTAGCTTGGCCATAGAAGAACCGCATGTAAACTTGGGGCTGAAGGAGGTGTGGTTGAGAAGAGGTTATCACCATCAAAAAAGAAACCAAGTACTTTGACCACTACAATAGGAAAGATGCCTGGAGAGCATCTCAACTGTCCAGATCCCAGCCACGCCTGGAATAGAGAGGGAAAAGAAGTGAAAAACAGAGAATGTATCTTTCTCTCCTTACAAGGCCACTAGCCCTACCGCATTAGGCTCTCAACCTTATAATTTTACCTCCTAGTGACTCTGTCTCAAATATAGTCACATAGGAGTAAGAGCTTCAGTATATGAATGAGGGACACAATTCAGTCTCTAGTAACTGCTATATATTATAATCATTATTTTTGAATGTTTAAGATTGAAAGACAGTGATGGCAGTGGTAGTGGGATAAATATGATGAAAAAAATTTTACACAATTTTTCATTTTTTCTTTCTCAGTGTCTGGAGAAATAACTTTGAAATGCAAAAACCTTTTATTGAAAAACACACAGATGAGTTTTCAAAATAAATTTGCTAATCTGCTATGCTTCTGCTTTTCCACACCCACTCAGTGTAATACAGTGGTACCTTTCATTCTTTGCCAAAAGATATTAAAATAGGTCAGAAAAATCAGAAGAATTAAATTAGTTTTAATTCTCATAGTACCTCAAATTTCATTTTAAAAGAAAAATTATTTATTATACCACTGACAAGCAGCACTTCAACTAAAATTCAAAAAACCAACATGATTGATATGAAAACCATGACGACAGAGATGTGAGAATTACCTGACAAAATATTTTAAAGCAGTTGTGAGCCTTGGTTCCTTAGTTTAGGTTATGGCAGGATTAGTAGCCACACTTAGAGGAAGGGAAGATAGGTTATCTGTAACAGATTGTGCAAGTTGCCTGAAACTATCCAGAAAACTACATGACCAAACTCCTCATTTTGATTTAACAAAAGTACATTGTGTTCATGTCCCTCCCCTTGATAAAAGAAATTGCTCTCTGATGTACTTTCTGATATGAACAAGTTTTCTAGGATGATATTTAAGGATTGCTTTAAAACTAGAAACATCTCTCTTGTAGTTGATTTTAAGTTGTTTGATGTATAATAAGCAAAATTATACTCTGGTTTTTTAAAGAAAGTGGTGCTTCTTTTAGTTCATTTGTCATTCTCTTCTTATTGTGAAAGACTTTATTAATCATGTTTAAGGTTTATTGTAACGGCCATTTTGGGAGGAGGGAGCTTGAGTGTAAAAGGCTTTGCTATTTCATTTAACATGTCCTGGCTACCATTAACTTTTGATAAGTAAAGCCTATCTTTTCCTAAAAAATAATGAACAAGCAATAACATATTTTAAACAAGTAAAAAAAAATAGTCTCAGCAGAAAAAGAAGATATAAAGAACCAAGAAGAAATAAAAAATAACCTAAATACAAAACCCAATATATGGAAGAAAACAAAGGAAAGAATAAATGAACTCAAAATACAAATTTCCAGGAATTTAGTTCAGTGGTTCTGCCACCTGCTTGCAAGCGCAAGGTCTTGAGTTCGATCCCTGGTACAAATAAGTAAATCAATGGTCTCAATAAACCACTAAAAAACCCAGAAATTGGCAGTATGGAGTAAGAACAAATAAACCAACCATGACAGGTGTACTATGCTGTCTATAAGAAATTCACTCAAAAATATTACACTATATTATATTATATTTACATGTCATGCAAACATTTATCAAAAGAAACAGGATTGGTCATACTATTTTGAGTAAACTTTAAAACAAAGAAATTATTTGGGACAGAGAGGGACATTTTATAATGATAAAAGTCAATGTGCCAAGAGTCTATCCTAGTTCCTCATGAGCATTCACCAGAAAAATGCTACAAAAACTAATAGAAGTGAAGAAGTAGATAATGGAATAATTATACAGAAAACCAGCAAAGATAGAGAAGAACACAACTGCACTTTCAACCAACAGGATCTAATCAATGTTTATAGAATACTCCAGCCAGTAACAGCAGAGTGCATACTGTTTCAAATGTTCTTGGAGAATATACAGACTAGATTGTATTTATGCCTACAAAAGAAACTTCAACAAATTTAAAAGAACTGTAATCTTACTGAGTATGTTCTTTAACCACAGTAGAGTCAAATTTCATAAACACTTGAAAACTAAACTACAAATTTTAAAATAACCCATGGGTCAAAAATATATTGAGCTGTGCAAAAATGTAAAGCAACATTAACATTTGTGGGACACAGCTAAAGAAAGAAGGAAGTATTTTGGTACTAAATACTTAAAACGAACAAGAAGAAATGCCTCTCAAAAACTGCAACAAGAAGTATCATTATGAATTAACACAACTTACTCAATATGAAATAGGGATTTTGAATATCCCTATATTATTAACAAAATTAAATATGTAATTTAAATACTCCTAAAAAGAAATCTTTAGGTCTGGATGGATTTGTTAGACAAATCTACCAAACTTTTAAATGAGTTAACATTAATTCAGCATAATTTCATCCAAAATTGACTACTTCCCAATTCGTTCTGTGAAGGAATTATTCTCTGAATACTAAAACCAGAAAGAAAGAAAAGACAGTAAAAAAAGAAAAAAATTACAGACCAACATTTCTCATGAAGGTAAACACGGGAACCCATAAAAGTCATAGCTAGTAGAATTCAGAAATAGTTTAGAAGAATTACACACCAGGACCAAGTAGATTTCATCTTAGATATTCACGTTTCATTCAATATTCAAATGTCAATCAATGTAATCCACCATATTCACAGGCTGAAGATGAAAAATCATGTAATCATATTAATTAATGCAGGAAAGCATTTGACAAAATTCAATGACATTGATAAAAAAGAATAAAGGAGATCTTCCTCAAATTCATAAAAAAAATCTCTAACTAATATTGTACTTAATAGTGAAAGAAGATAGAATGCTTAACCCCCCTCCCCCAAGATAGGGAAAAGAGAAGATTTAGTCTCATCAGTGCCACTTGTGTAGTACTGGACTCTCTAGCCACTGCAAAAAGGCAAAAATAAACAAAAATACTTATCAGAAAGGAAGAAATAAGACTGCCCCTCTCCTCAGAGGACATAAAGGCCTATATAGAAAATTCTAAAATATCTACCAAAATAAACTCGACTTTAAGTTGAGTGCATCAAGACTATGAAATTCAAGACTAATGTGCAAAAACAAATCACATTGCTAAGCAATAGTAATGAAAACATGTAAGCAAAAATCAGAACTATACTATTTACAAATGAAATACTTAGGTATTACTTTGGTATACAGATGCAGATCTAACAAAATACAGGACTTATATGTGAAAACTTCAAAATATCACTGAAAGATAAATATATGAAGAGAAATATTATGGTCATGGATTGGAAGACTCAAGATAGTAAAGTTTTTTGTAGACATACAGAAGCTTATTGTAAAATTTACATGCAGAAGCAGATGTAGGAAGCAGAAGAAATCACTTTACTTGATCTCAAGATTTATTACTGTGGGTAGTGACAGTAACTAAGAGCATGGAGGAGACCTAGACTCTATATCTGTATCTAGGGGCAGAATACAGAGACCCAATGCAAAATGTAAAAACATAGTCCACTTAGAAAAATTTAGACAGAGGGGTTGGCACACGGTGACTGGAGTGAACACTAAAAGCATAATTAATAAAAATAAAAGCTGACAAGTATGGCAGTCAAAATGCAAACCTTTCTTCTATGAAAGATACTGTCGGGAAGATGACAAGCTACAGACTAGGAGAAAATATTCACAGATTACTTCAGAAAGTGCTTATATATAGACTATAAAAGGAATTCTCATCCCAACAGCAAATAAAACAAGTAGTTTCCTTAGAAAATGGTCAAAACACTTGGAAAAACATTTCATCAAAGAAGATACTTAGGTGGCAAATAAGCACATAGAATTTTCAGTATCACTAGACATTAGGGAAATGACAAGATCTCAGTGAGATATCACTATCTATTTATTGGAAAAGCTCAAACAAGACTGACAATATGGAATTCTAGCAAATAGTGGAGAAATTGAATCTCTTGTGCATCGTTGGTAGAAATGTAAATGATAATGCTACTCTGGAAACTTCTTGACTATTTCTAAAAATTAAATCTACACATCACTGACTCAACAAAGTTCCTGTGGTATTTTCAATAGAAATGAAAACTAGTTCAACATAAAACTGAGTATTTGATTCTTTCTAGCAGCTTTATCTGTAAAAGCCCAAAGCTGGTAACAAGCAAAATGTCCAGTAAGTGAAAGGATAAACATGGTCAGCGATAAAGAACGGCTATACAACATCTAGGGTAAACTTAAAAGGCATTAAAGCCATCAAAAGCTTACACACGCTGTGATTCTATTTATATAACCTTCTGATAAAATTACTGAGCTGTGTAACAGACCAGTGATGGCTAGAGGTCAGACATGGTGGAGGAAGAAGACATGTTGGGCCAAAAAGACTGTACGCTAGAAATCTTTCAAGTGATTAGCGTTATGTATCTTGATTTTGATAGTGGTATCATGAATCAGCTCTTGGGTTAAACGGACACAGAACTATTCACACACATTGTATCTCTGTCGCACTTCTGGTTCCGTGCAGTACCATAATTAAGATGTAATCGTGGATAAATTCAGTGAAGGGTAAAAGGGATTCTCTGTACTATCCGTTGCACTTTCCTGTCTTGCGCAATTATTTTTAATACACAAAATAACCGTAAATAAACGCTGCCTAGAGCAAGAGGCAAACCTTGAGCCTACAGAAAAACAATTTTGCTTCTCGGCATGACCTGAGGTCCGAGGAGTTCGTTGAGCAGGCAGGTAGGTGGAAAACCCGGGGTGTCTTTCTGTGCCTGTGGGAGTCAAGTGGGAGGCGGCGCCGAGCTGCTAAAGCGGAGAAGGCGGCGGCGAGTGGCAGTGTTCCGCCCCACCCTCTGCTCCCTAAGCGCAGCCGACGCCGGGCGCTCTCCGACTGTCTAGAAATCTGGAGCAAGAGTCCCCAGAGGATCCTCGCTAGGCGCTCGGCTCTCGTTATTCTGAACGCTCTCCACGCCTGGTTTAGACAGGAGCTGAAGAATAACTTTTTTTTTTTCCTTTCTTGAGCTGAAAACATTTTTGGACAATGAGTTGAGTCTCCCGTGCACTAGTCCCCGCCTCTTTATTGTGGGTTTGATCAGTGCGCTGTTTTCCTCCTCCTGAGCCTCCCAGGGTGCAGCCAGTAGTCCTCGCAAGTCCTTTGCGCGAACCACGCGGATGGCCGGGCAGTAGCGGGTGGTGCCCAGCGCCCAGGGAGCGCACGACATGCAGGCGCTCAACATCACCTCCGAGCAGTTCGCCCGGCTCCTGCGGGACCACAACCTGACGCGCGAGCAGTTCATCGCTCTCTACGGGCTGCGGCCGCTAGTGTACACCCCGGAGCTGCCCGCGCGCACCAAGCTGGCCTTCTTGCTCACCGGAGTGCTCATTTTCGCCCTGGCGCTTTTTGGCAACGCGCTGGTGGTCTATGTGGTGACCCGCAGCAAGGCCATGCACACCGTCACCAACATCTTCATCTGTTCCTTGGCTCTTAGCGACCTGCTGATCACCTTCTTCTGCATCCCGGTCACTATGCTGCAGAACATCTGGGACAACTGGCTAGGGGGTAAGAGTCTGCGCCCCGTGCCTTCCCCAGTAGCCCCAGCCCTTCTAGGGAGCACCGCACAGATACCACACTCTTCTGATCTCCTCCTACTGCTGTCGCTGTCAAATGAATCCCATCTTCTTTCTGGGAACTTTCTCTCTGGAGCTCACTTGGAGATAATCTTTTGTTTTGTTTTGTCACTTCTGATTTGGTCCAGCGTTACCTCCTTGTGGCTTAGAAATGCAGGTTGGGGTAACGTTTCAGAAAGGTCCAGAGCAGTGACACTGCTCTCCACTTATTTCAGCTCCCCTTTTCATAAGGCCCAGCACTTTTCTATTATTAAATAAACATATTTTTATTCGAAGGTAAAAATATTTCAAATCATGTTTTTTAAAAGTTAAAAATTGTATCTTGTCACTTTCCCCTAACCACCAGGCTGGCTTCTCAGTTGTTTGTGTGACTTCCACACAAAATTTCTTTTATGTACTAGCAAAAGATTATATGTCGAAAAGCCAAATATATAGTCGAAGGAAAAATATCTTGGACTGGTCCTTCTTTTTAGAAATTGTATTAATAGAGACATGCAGGGAGATGGAACACAGAAAACACACCCCCTCCTGATTGGAAAGGAGAGGTGAAATTCTCCTTCTGAGAGTGGAGCAGAAATGGCCATTAAACCTTTGGAATAACTGAGGTAGGGAGAATGCGTGGAGGCTGGAAAAAGGGACTGCCCCTCTCAGTCTTCACACAGAGGTGCAAATAGAGAGTCCCATTGTAATCCCATCCCATCGGAAGTTCTGTATTGTGTTCTTAACCACTGTTTAAGGTACCTGGGAAGGAAGTAGAGGCGATGCCCTGACTGTTATGAATGAGCATAGTCTTGAGACCATATAAAAATTCTTAGGGAACTGTTAGGAATGTAAGAGAAATGGACCATTATGCCTTCAAGCCGTGCTGTTTCTATCTCTTCGCTGTTTCTTCCAAAATCATGGAAAGTATTTCTTTTATCCCACCATTATTAAGAGGAGCTCTTCAGTACCTTTTGTTGGCATTGCTGTTTTCTATTAACTTGCACTAAGTATACTGTTAATGGGTCACATGGGTACACGTTGGACATCCACCTCATCCATGTTTCTAAAAATGTATTTCTTTTTAATAAAAGCCATAAAGTGATTACCTGATGTTGATTTAAAAATGACACATAATGTGGAAAGTCATAAATTACTTTATAGATTGGAAATATCTTGCAGTTGATAATAATTGCATTTGGGCATTCAAAAGCTATTCAGTGCAACTAAATCCATCAAATAAAGGAGAACATTCTGGATCCTTATTCAGAACTTGGTTTTTGATAAAGGACACAGATTGTGCTGGGGATATAGCTCAGTAGTAAAAGGGATTGCCTAGCGTGTGTGAGGTCTGTGTTCAATCCCCAGTATCACACACACACACACACTCACACACACACACACACACACAGGCACAGGTTTTATTATTTCTAAGCGTTTCTAAAAGGTTGATTTATGACACATATTACTACTGCTGGATGATGATGGTTCTGTTTGTAAAGGTGAATATAATTAAGCACTATGGAATCTTTTAATGGAAATCAAAAGACCTGAATGATTACTTTGGCTTTTAGTATGTGGAAATTCAAGAAATCTGGCCCTCAGCTTTTCCAGTAAAATACTAGAGAATTAGAGAAGTGTGCAAAAGGAATGAGGCAGATCTTTAAAATGAGCCATACTGAGGAACAATGCTCAGGGAAGAGCCAGTATAGATCTCCCCTACTGAGGGTGTAGGTGACCACTGCCAAGTTTTGTTCTTAAGCTTTCTGTTATCCTTGTTTACTATTTCATAGGAGACCTTCAATTTAGTTTCTAAATACCAAAAAAGAGAATAATTTTTTGCTTATGTATTTTATAAGGTTAGTATGAGAAAAAGTGTATTAATAAAATGCTTTGGGAAGAAACTGATCACACAGTAAAAGTATGAGGCAAAACATATGGAATGTTTAATTGGAGGTGGTCTGTGTTTATCTGGGATCAGATTTATAGAATAAATTATATTCTATTACCAAGTACCACCAAAGTTAAAGTTAGGGCAGGGAGAGATCCTGAAAAAAAGCTGGAGATAGATATGGAAAGATAATAAACTTGTACATTATAGGATAGGATAATAAATACAAAACTTCCTCAATAAATTAAAAAAGGAGAATTCAAGAGAATGTAATCTTGGAGCTGAAAATTAATTAATAATTTGTTATTTGTTAAAGCCACTGATTATCTTCTATATGGCAAAGTGTTCTACCATAAGAATACAAATATGAAAGCTCAACTAAGCCTTTATGCACCTCAAGAACAGGAGATATTTCCAAGTGAACAAGATCAAATGTGATGGAAGGGATCTAATCTGTTTCTATTTCTTCATTTATGTTCTGCCTTTTGCTGGTTTTCACATTTCCTCATGTTTTGTGAGTGTCTGCTGAAGCTTGGTGTGAAATTTATTTTCTTTCATTATTCTGCATAGGAGCTGTTCTCAGGTCTCTCATTTCTTTGGCAATGATTATGAAGTCACTGTCTAATCACTACCTTCATTCATAGTCTTTCACCTGATCTGAGCACTGGGCACTTACCCATGGCTATCTTGTTAGCATCAGATTATGCTCTCATCCTAATTTGTCTGTCTACCTAGGTTCTAAATTATAATTAATGGTACTGTGAATCATTCTTATATTCTACATATTCTGGGCATCTACTTTGTGTGCTGGGATATTGTAGGTGTTGTGAAAGCAGTGTCCTTGTGGAATAGCTAGGTTTTAATTAGATCGAAAAAGTTGAAAGAAGTGTTCAAAGAAGAGGTGGAGGATGCCGAGGATGGAAGTGCCAGGCTTCCAGACTGCACCATGCAAGTGTGGGGAAGTGAGGAGATGGAATCAGATTGGGGAAGTTTACAGCCTGATGGGTTTGAGTTCAGGGGAAAAGGATGGCCTAAGACAGAATGGGACTTGCGGTACCTGAGGTAAATGAAAACTTAAGGTGTAGGTGATTAATGTTGAATATCTCCCAGGAGATAGAAAATCAGTTCTCATTGTAAGCTTCCTTGGTCTTAGATGTTAATAAGGTGAGAGGGGAGGGCATGGAGTAGCAGTCATTCCCAGAGCCTGCAGAGCAATGTGTCTGCTTTCAACCTGCTCGGGTACAGCTAGGGCCTGGGGGAGGAACAGTCTCCCAAGGTAAACGCAGAGCTCTGTGGGTCTCTTGTAATCCTGCCCTGGGCAGTGAAAAAGAATTTATCAAATGGTGTCTGGCAAATTAGCTAAAAGCAATTCCAAAACAGGAATTTCAAAAACATCTTAAGTAAAGGCAGAATCGTGGAGAGAAGTGCGCATCCACGCACTGCATTTGAAAAGTTCTCACTTAGGTAAGAAAATGTAGGAAATTAGTGTTCTCTGCAGCTGGAATGAGAATTCCCCTAAGAATTGTTCTAAATCTTGGTGACACAGAGGAATCACTTGTGGAGATTTTAAAGACATAGATGCCTGGTTCCCAGCCCTAGAGATTCTGATTTAATTGATTTGCATGTGGTAATCAGTATCAAGTTTTTGAAAAGCTCCCCAAACTAAAAAGGATTATAATTTGCAGCCAAAGTTGGGAACCAGCAATGTAGCATAAATACCAACAGCACAAAGACATGGGCTGTTAGGAGGGTTCAAAGAAGAAATAATGGAAATAAAGTTTAAAATAGCACAGTGACTTCTGTATATACCCACTCTATATAACCATTATATTTTGAAAGATAGGAATTGGAGTAAGAAAGTTTGGAAAATGCAGAAGTGGCTATAGAGAGACCAACAAGGACCTCTGAGACAATTATTCACTTGTGGGAATCCCATTATATCTTCACTAAAGACCTTAACCTTTTTGGAGTCTTTCAAGATGAATTTGGGAAGAAGTCAAATATAGGAAAAATATTGAAATACAATACATACAAAGAAGGCCTAGAAGAATTATCTCTTGCTTGGATAATACAACTGTAGTTATAAATTAGCACACTAAACAGTAAAAGTTTCCAGTTGATTTTACTCAAAGCCACAGGGTCAGTTGTGGATAGGTGTGGAATAGGCAAGACAGTCAATCTTCATCAGAACATCACCTACCTTTTTAAAAAACAAAAAGGCTTGATCAGACTATAAGCTCTCTTGAGTCTGATCAATGATGTGCTGAGCTCTTTTGGTTGGTGCCATCAAATCAGAAAGGAGGTGACTTTGGGTATACGGGACTTTGCCATATCTGCACTTAATTTTCCTTATCTGTTTACTAATAATTCTATTCATTTCCATGTATCTTTTTACTTTCCTGATCCCTTTCACAGCCTTTATCTCATTTTACCCTCACGACACTCCTGGAATAGACCAAAGGTATTAATTATCTCAGAGTTATGGAATTTGAGCCTCAAAAATGCTGAAAGTCTGGGCTGATCAGCTGGACATTGAACAGACAAGATGAGGATGCACAGGTCTCCTTTTGATATGAAAAGGGGTGGGAGGAAAGCAGAGAAAGGGGGGAAAGAAAAAGCCTGCACTGTATATGCATGAACTATTTGATGAGTGTTAGAGATTGAGAGCTAATAAATTGTGAAATGGGTTAAAAGGAGTTGTTGAAATTTTATTTTGCAAAAGATAGTAATTTTGGTAACCAGTTTAGAGGAGAGAACTTAATCTGCAACTTCTTCAGTTTTATTTATTGTTTGGTTCATAAATATCAATTACATTTGTCATAATAATGATTTGTATGACATTTTGGAAACATATGGTGAAATTGAGGTAAAATCAGGAATATTGTGGGGATTAAAAAAATCTTTCAACATCTGGGCATAGTTGTAGATGCCTGTAATCCCAGCTACTTTAGAAGAGGAGGCAGGGATTGTGAGTTTAAGAACAGTCTGAGCAATATAGTGTGACCCTACCTCAAAAAAAAAAAAAAAAA